GAGGAGGAGGAGGAGGAGGAGGAGGAGGAGGTACGAGGGGGAGAAGCGAGGAGGAGGGTGAACAAGGAGGAGGGGACGGGGAGGAATGACTGTCACACTCCCGGGCCACCGTCCGCAAGCCGTCGAGCTGGAAGGACACCACCACGTCTCGCTGGCCCACCGAGGTGGGGACGAAGCGGGAGGACGAGGGCGACGACGAAGACGAGACGGGACGATGACAACACCGACAGGCAGGACGGGCGAGGGGAGATGTTGTGCTCAGCGGGCGAAAAAGGCGTGCGAGAATCTGTGGCAAGAGGTTGGCAGAAGAAGGCAGCGGACGACTGGAGGAGGCGCAGGCCGAGGCCTCGCCGTACGCTCCCTCGGGCATCCTGCCCTGGACCGGAGCTGGAGACGACGACGAGGAGGACGAGGACGAGGGCGGCGGCGGAGACGAGACGGCGGGCGAGCAGGAGGAGGAGGACACCGACGAGCAGGACGAAGGAGGGAAGGGACATGTAGCACCCCGCAATTGCGGGTAAGGAGTGGGGGGAGCGGCTGTGTGGTCGGCAGTCTGCGATGCTCTAGAGAAGTCCGCCGCAGGCGCAGAGTTCTGTAAGATTTTGCGCAACGAGCCTGACGCAGGCGCGGATCTGTTCGTCAAAGCAACGTGGGTGGGTCGCGGGTGGGTCGCGTGGTGGATCGCCAGGTCGCTGGGGTCCGGGGGCGAGGACGACGACAGCAAACAACAACAACTACTACTACAACAACAACGGAAAAGCGTGCACCCCGGCCCCGATCAGGGCCGGAGCCTCCAGTGTCACTCCGCCGGTGGACGGGCGCACACTCCGGCCCCGCTGGTGGACGGGCGCACTCCGGCCCCGTGGGGCCAGCCCTCAGTTGCTGGAGCTTTGCTTACCCTTAAGGACAAGCGCTTGAGTGTTGAGAGAAGAAGAAGAAGATCTCAACAACAAGCCGGGGCCGGTGTCAACGCCTTACCGAAAAACAACAACAACAATCATTTTAAGACCGTTCGCCCTTATCTGCTCGAGTGTCCAATAACGCGTATTCCCAAACCCTCGATACCCGCCCTCTTCGTCTTCGATCGAACCCCTGCAGGCCGGGCCCTGGCAAGCGGCGGGGCGGCCGCGGACCGTCGGCCTGGCCAGCGGCAGTGCTGGTCGGCGGGGCGGCCACGGACCGTCGACCCGACCCCAAGAGGGACGGACAGGGGACCGACCACGACGACGACGACGTCGACGACGACGGCGATGACGACGACGACGACGACGACGACGACGGCGACGACGACGACGAGCGAAAGCGAGAGCGAGAGAGAACGACAGCAGGGCCACGAAGGACACGAAGTAGGCCACGAAGGGCGACAGCGGGGACGCGAAGAGAATGTGTATGGGGCCACGAAGAGCGCGAACGAGCGGGGGCCACGAAGGGCAGATAATGCGGGGCCACAAATGGCAACGATGGGGCCACTGAGGGTAGCAACTGGGCCACGTAGGACAGTGAGGGGGCCACAAACGGCGACAGCGGGGCCACGAAGGACATGCACATGGGGCCACAACGGGCGCGAATGAGCGGGGGCCACGAAGGGTATACGTATGTTGGGCCGCGGAGGGCAAGAACTGGGCCACTGAGGGCAGCAACGGGGCCACGAAGGGCAGCGAGGGGGCCACGAAGGGCAACAGCGGGGCCACGAAGGGCATGCATATGGGGCCACCACGGGCGCGAACTAGCGGGGGCCACGAAGGGCATACATATATGGAGCCACGAAGGGCAGCAAGGGGGCCACGAAGGGCATGCATATGGGGCCACGAAGGGGAGCGAGGGGGCCACGAAGGGGAGCGGGGGGCCACGAAGGGCTGCAACGGGGCCACGAAGGGGAGCGAGGGGGCCACGAAGGGCTGCAACGGGCCACGAAGGGCAGCGAGGGGGCCACGAAGGGCTGCAACGGGGCCACGAAGGGCAGCGAGGAGGCCACGAGGGGCTGCAACGGGGCCACGAAACAAAGCGAGGGGGCCACGAAGGACTGCAACGGGGCCACGAAACAAAGCGAGGGGGCCACGAAGGGCTGCAACGGGGCCACGAAGGGCAGCGAGATCCCGATTCCTAGGTAATCTGTGAGGGAGTCCTAAGCGTGAGCGCGACTCCTGGGTGCCTGGGTGTCGGGAGCGCGGCGCTTGAGTAAATTACAAGAAATTCCAACGCAAGGGCGCTATTCGTCAGTACATTGCAAGCAAGTCTTCAGCGAGAGCGCGACTCCAACAGCGCCGGGAGAGCGATTCCTAAATACATTGTAAGGAAGTCCCAAGCGAGAGCGCGATTCCTGAATAGAATGCGAGGAAGTCTCGGGCGGGAGCGGGGGTCCTGGCTAATTTGTAAGGAAGTCTTAGGCGGGAGCCGTTGTTCTTGTAACCCGCGGGCCAGGGGCGCAGTTTGAGCATCAAGACTTTCCATGTCAAAAAACAGGGTGCGAGCGTCGAGGGGCACACTTTGATTGAGAAAAACAATCTGCACCGATGAGGGGGATCAATCTTTGTTCGTCAGAGATGAGCGTTCAACAACAACCAACAACACCAACACCAACACCAACAACAACAACAACAACACCAACAACAACAACAACACCACCAACAACAACAACAACAACAACAACACCACAGCAACAACAACAATAACAATAACATCGTCAACAACAACAGCAACCACAGCCACAGCCACAGCCACAGCCACAACCACAACCACAACCACAACCACAACAGCAACCACAACCACAACCACAACCACAACCACAACCACAGCAATAACAACAACAACATTCAACATTAATAATCAAGCAGCACCCGTACGGATCCCTCGGGATTCTATTCCCTGGGAATCCATCGGATTACTCAGCAATTTTCAGGAATCCTCCATCGGGAACCATTGGAATCCTGAGGAACTTTTAGGAACCAGAGGAACCCCGAAGGATCCCTAGGAAAGAATCCCCCGGGATCCCCAGGAATCCTCAGGAACCTTCAGGAGTCTGCAGGAATCCACAAGAATCCTGAGGAATCCCTGGGAGTCCAAAGGAATTCTTCGGAATTCATGAAAAATTATTGGATTCCACCGGGACCAATGGAATTCCCGAGGAATCACCAGGCATCCTCCGGAATCCCTCGCAATCCGTGGGCCCTAGGAATCTTCAGGAATCTGAGAATCCCTAAGACTCCTAGGGGATCCTCATGAATCCCGGGGAAACCTTGAAGAATCCGAGTGGTTGTTTCACGAATCTATCCGGAATCTTCAGATATCCCGCAAGAGTTCTCAAGCATCGCTCAGGAATCCATTGGCTTGGGATCCTTAGAAATCGATGGGGGTCCGCAAGCCCACGATTGTCTGCCCCCCCCCCCGCGACGTGTCGCGTCGCCGGGGGGGGAGGGGAAATGGACTGGGCCGCAGTCTGGGCTTGCGCCAACAGCAAGAACAATGACAATAACACTAACAACAACAACAACAACAACAGCAGCAACAGCAAGAAAAACAACAACACCAGCAACAACAACAGCAACACCAGCAACACCACCACCACCACCACCACCAACAACACCAACACACCACCACCACCACCACCAACACCAACACCAACAGCACCACCACCACCACCACTACCACCGCCACCACCACCACCACCACTACCACCACCACCACCAACCAACCAACCAACCACAACAACAACAACAACACCAACAACAACAACAATAACAGCACCACCACCACCACCACCACCACCACCACCACCACCACCACCAACACCACCACCAACAACAACAACAACAACAACAACGGCTCCCGCCTCATACTTCCTCACAATGTATTCCCACATCGCGCTCTCGCGCAGGACTTTCGCTCAACTTATGCAGGAATCGCGCTCTCGCGTGGGAATTCTTCGTAATTTATTCAGACGCCGTGCCTTCGACATTCAAGAATCATAACCCTGCTCTGCCGCCCGCTAGGGTCTGCCCGCCCGATCTGCCCGTCTGGTTCTACCACGTGTTTTCTGCTCCTAGCCCCCCTCCTGCTAGGTTCTCTCGTGCTCCATCACTCTTCATTCCCTCTTCCATCCGTCCTCTCTTCCCCTGTTTTAGGGGCTGCGCTAAAAGCACGTAGCAGCTAAGGAAGATATGCCCCAGAGGGGGCACGATCGAAGACGAAGAGGGCGGGTGCCGAGGGTTTGGGATATACGTGTTGAGTGTCATGCGAGCAGGTAGAAACGAAGAGTGTTGAAATGATTGTTAGTGTTGTGATTGCTGTTGTAGTGACCAGGGGGCAACAACGCAGTTTGGATACCCAACACTCAAACATAGGGTGCAAGCCGCGGGAGGGGCACTTCAATCGAACAAGAATACAGCGGGCACTGGCGGGGGGATTAGTAATTACTAGTCCTTAGGAATCGAGCGAGCATAATCTGGGCCACGGAATCTTATTTCACCAGCGCAATCAGGGGAGGTGTACGACCGCTCGGCCTCCTCAAACTGATGAGGCATAGGATGAGGACGAATAGGACGAGGAGGAGCATGCCGAGAGCAACAAGAACGCCGCCGCCGTCGTCCTCACAGCCGAACCCTGGACCCCTCTCTTAGAACGCGCTGTCCAAAGTTGGCTTTGGGGAGGATCCAGCTGTGGCGACGAGGTGACACCTGCAAGGCGCAGTCGTCCCCGCCGCCGCCGCCGCCGCCGAATCGGATCGTCGTTGCCCGACCCGGGCTCCGCTCGGAGTCGGTCGGGCGCCTCCTGGGGCCCGTCCTGCCCCGTCTCTTTGAGCCGAGCCTGGCCGTGGCCACGAGGACCTCCGGAGACGCTCGGAAACCTCCGAGACGACGAAGACGAAGACGACGACGACGACGACGACGACGAAGACGACGACGACGACGACGACGACGACGACGACGACGACGACGACGACGACGACGACGACGACGACGACGACGACGACGACGACGACATCGTCGTCGTTGTCAGGCGACCTGCGCCGTGTGGCCGTCCATCTGCAGTAGCCTGTCGGCTGCGCGCAAGAGCGGCCCCGGGCAAGAGGGGCCTTTGGTAATTACGCGGCTCCAGGGGGCCCCGCGGCGGAGGGGACCCAAACCCCCTGGCGTCACGAGGTCACGACGGACGTTGTTGTTGAACACTCATTTCGAAAGAATAATTGTTGTTGATCTCCGGAAACGGTTCCGCGCGCTCTCGCCTCGACGCCAGCTCCACTTTCGCTGAAAACGAGGTTCCCGCTCGAGCGTCGGCTGGACCCTAAATGTGGGCCCTGGGAGGCCCAGATACGACAACAACTGCTCCCGCTCGATACTTCCACACAATCTACCCCGAGACACCCTGGCCAGAGAGGCTCCCGAACTAAGGAACGGCGCTCTCGCTCGAGATTTCCTCGAAATTCAATTATGTTGGCGGAGGCCCCAGCCACTACGACAAGGACTCCTGCTCGATGCTTCCTCACGATTTATTCCGAGAGCCCCTGGCCAAGAAGGCCCCCGAACTCAAGAACTGCGCCCTCGCTCGAGACTTTTCCGTAATTCAAGCAAGTTGGTGGAGGCCCGGACACGGCGACAAGGGCTCCCGTTCGATATTTCTCCATCGGTATTCCGAGAGCCCTTGGCCAGAGAGGCCCCAAACTCAGGAACGGCGCTCTCGCTCGAGACTTCTTCGCACTTCAGCCAGTGGCCGGCAAGGAAGAGATTCCCCCCGAAAGGGGGTGCAATCGAAGACGAACTGGGCGGGTATCGAGGGTTGGGGTATGCCGGGTATGCGGGTTGCAAGACACGCGTGCCAGTAAGAGCGAACCGTCTTGAAATGATTGTTGTTGTTGCTGCCGTTTTCGGACTCTTG